AACCTAACCTAACCAAAATTAAATGCGGATTGGAACGGTTTTTGGAACTGATTTTGAATTCAAATTTAAATCCTAATTTTTAATTATTAATATAGGTCAGATACACAGGGTGTCAACAAAATGGTGTATATAGCTTTGGTGGGTGATTCTACAAATAAAAATAAAATCAAAAGTTCCTATGAACATATGCCCTAAAATGCTTCCCGAAGAAGTTACAGCCCTCGAAAGGTTAAATAAAAATAATGTATTTTGTTTATTTTTAAGAACATTGGTAAACGGTTTTTCCTGAAATTTGGAGTTTTTAATGCTAAAACGAATGGCGATTGTGAAAAATTCCGTAAAGGCCTAAAAGGGTACTTACCATTTGGGTAGAGAGTACTAATGGTGGTACTTTTTTATAGATACAGTAATTTCGACAAATGATATAAAAATCTAGAATCTTTTTTACGTAAAACAGGTGCTCTTTGTTTAATTCGAAAAGGTGAACGGTTTTCAAGATATTTGTGTTTAAAGATTACGATGCATTGACTTTAGTACTAGTGAAACGATAAAATGTAAAGATTATTTTAAATAAATTAATCTCCCGATTTCGCTAATGCTACAATCGATGCATCGGAACCTTTAAACGCAAATATCTTGAAAACCATTCATTGTTTCGAACTAAACGAAGAGCACTTTTTTACATAAAAAAAGTTCTAGCTTTAATTTTCATTTATTGAAATTACTGTATCTATAAGGATAAAGAAGTACCACACAGTAGTACTCTCTACCCTAATGGAAAGTACCTTCCGTAACCAGGGCTGTTACGGAATTTTAGACTATCGCCATTCGCTTTGGCATTAAAATGCGTGTAAGAGTACCAAATTAAAAAAAAAACTGTTTATCAATGTTCTTAAAAATAAACAAAATATACAGGGTGGCGCACCTCATTCGCCTCGGTTGATTATACGAAAACAGACAGATGTAGAAACAAAATATTTTATGGGTATATGTGGAGAGGCAATGTGCACATTTTAAAATTATTTTGAAATATACAGGGTGTTTCAGAACTAAGATCCATACCAAAGTTATATTTTTTTATGGAACACCCAGTATTTTATTTCATTTTTGGATTCCTGGGCCCAAAAAAAGCATTTATTATAAGGGTTAAATATGTTTAAACTCTTTGATTTGTGAGATATTTAAAGATATTTAAATTTGCATGCTACTATAGAATAGATTATTAACACCCTGTGCATTACTTTTCAGAATTAATTCTTGTGCTGAATTTAAAGGTAGAGAAATAAACTTTACTGGAAAATGTTATTGTTTTCTTAAATTTATACAGGGGTATCAAAAATTGCTGACCTATTCTAAGGATTTATTTTTCATAAAAACTTCGTTATTTCAAATACAACACCCTGTATTTTTTTAAATAAATCGAAGCAGATTCAAATGCTCTTTCAAACTATACTAGGGTTTCCTATACCTATCTAGCTCAGATTTTGAATAAAGAGCAATTTTTCAATAAAATGGCAACCAAGAGGGCTAGTCTCGTCATGGCAAGTTTCTAGTGACAGTTAGTAGCTATTTTCAAAATCGAAACTATTTTATGGACTTATTTAAATTTATATCAGTTTACTTTTATTTGATTTACCTACAATAGTTTAATAAATAATATTTATTAAATATGTGTTTATTATTCTATCAAGAAAAACGAAGAAGTAGTCTTTGAATTATTTTACGATGAGTTGTAGATATATGGTTTTTCTATAGAAGGGACAATTACGGCAAATTCATTTTCTTCACTTCCCATGACAGGTTTCTGCCTATTAAGTTTTTTATAAACCACACTACCAGCTCTGCGAAATAGGACAAGTAGTTTTTGAAAGGAACGCTTATCAGAAATATTCCTATTTTTGGATACCTTTACCTAATCTTTTTTTTAATCAAAATATGAGCTAGATAGGTATAGAAAACCCTAATATAGTTTGAAAGAGCATTTGAATCTGCTTCGGTTTATTTTAAAATATACAGGGTGTTGCATTTGAAATAACGAATTTTTTATATAAAATAAATCCTTAAAATAGATCAGCAATTTTTGATATCCCTGTATAAATTTAAGGAAGCAATGCCATTTTTCAGTAAAGTTTATTTTTTTACCTTTAAACTCAGCACAAGACTTAATTCTGAAAAGTAATGCAGAGGGTGTTAATAATCTATTCTATTGTAGCATGCAAATTTAAATATCTTTAAATATCTCAAAAACCAAAGATTTTAAACATATTTAACCCTTATAATAAATTCCTTTTTTTGGGCCCAAGAATCCAAAAATGAAATAAAATACCGGGTGTGTTCCATAAGAAAAAATATAACTTTGGTATGGATCTTAGTTTTGAAACACCCTGTATATTTCAAAATAATTTTAAATTATGCACATTGCATCCCCACATATACCCATAAAATATTTTTGTTTACATCTTTCCGTTTTTGTATAATCAACCGAGGCGAATGAGCTGCGCCACCCTGTATTATTATTTTTATTTTACCTTTAGAGAGCTGTCATTTCTTCGGGAAGCATTTTAGGGCATATTTTCATAGGAACTTTTTGTTTTATTTTTATCTGTAGAACATGTATAAAAATATTTATTTAAAATATTATGTATAAAAATTATGAATACCAAATAATCTTAAGGAATCAGCAAATTAAAAAAAACATAAAATAGCCAATGAAATAAAAGGAAAGTAATAATTAGCTCACAAACAATCTTAGTACGCAGGTTAATCTTCCTGATTCTTAGTAGAGATGTAAAATGTTTGTACTAATTGACATACAATCATATAAAAATATTATTCCTAATACTGTTTAAATTATAAATTCCTTTATTCAAATGGTAATAATTAAATAATTTTGTGATATGAAACAAACATTTGCCTAAATTGAAAATCTGACTAAAATTGCTTTATGTAATAAACTTTCTGAGATCAGGTTATTAAAATTCAAATGCCATAACCGCTGTCATGACCGGTTTTGAGGCCTGATCCTCATCAAGTAAGCCGTCTTGAGTTGATTTCGCAAATTGACAAACACACACAATTTACTCTTTATTCCGGGGATGTCGGAAAGATATCGCTGAGTTATTAAATTTTAACCAGAAAAGGGAATTTAGTTGATGTCTTCATTCAGGCATCGAATAACATTCTCAGGTATACCGGGTGTTTCTTACCTCTATTATTTCTTACACCTATAACTTTTTTGTTATTTTACATAAATGTACGAGTTTTGATACATTAGTCTATGACATAAATCAGGATTTATTGACGTTTTCAGTTGTTTTTGGTCACTTCCTGTTTTACCGGAAACGACTACAACTTTTGATTTTTAAATGGTACCCTCGGTATTTTTTACCTTATTCGATAGAAAATGACACTCTAAATAAGAACGGTATATCAGATACCCATCTATTAAAGAAAATTTTATATTTTAAATTTCAATTTATACTTCCATGGCTCTCTTAGAACCACTAATTTTTAATCAAGTAGTCTTTTAAAAATAAATTTGATCGTCCAATATTTTTCGTGTCTTTTTCTGGCTGGTTAAAAGATGTCTAAATTTTATTTTTAATAATAACGTTTTTTTTTCAAATGGAACGAGGATGGCTCAGTAACATATATGGCAAATGCTTTTTTTGCAAATAATTTGGTACTATGTACTTGGTATTTCGAGTCTAATTGTCATTATCTTTATGGCCATGGCACTCTAAATTGTAATTTAAATACTATTTTTTTAATTGAGATTGTCAAAAGTTGACATATTTATGTAATTTTCTATCAAATGAAGTGAAAAAATACCAAGGGTATCATTAAAAAAAACAATTGAATACTTCAATCAATACCAATTTGTCATATACTAACATACCAAATCTTGTTTCTTAATCTGAAAAAAAATAAAAATGTTATAGGGGACCACTTTTGAGAAAAACCTGCTATATTAATATAGACCGGGTATATATTACCACCTTACGCCACCGGGAAGTGCCCGGTGGCGTAGAGGTACAGCTCTCGTCTACCAATCCAAAGGTTGTGTGTTCGAATCGTATAGCCGGCATTTCATCAGCCGACTATTTTTAATAAAATAAAAATAGTTTGCTAGCCACATTACCTTTCTTGTATACCGAACGGCTCTCATGGCAAACTGTACCTTGCTACTCCCAATGTGTTAAACGCTATATACGGGAGCTATTATTATTATATAATAAAGATGGTTCAGAAAACAACACATTTTTTAAAGCCCTTTAATTCCTTGAACACTAAATTTACATAACCATTAAAAAAACGGCTCAAGAAGTATATCCTTCCCTCATTGAAAATCAAAAATAGGAAACTGTAAAAGGTTTTTAAGAAAATTATAATTTTCTTTAAAGCCTTTTAACGGATCTTTTTAAAAATTTCCTATAAACTGTCTTTAAAAAAATCATAGTTCATATTTAAAACTGCTATCTAATCATATTACGACACATTACTGTATGATGTAAAACAAAAAGACATTAAAGTTTTAATACGGTATTGGCTAAATAGCTTGCAGCAAATAAGAAAACAATTTATTATCGAGTTACTGTTAAATAAAATTTTTGATTTAGTCACATTTACTGATTCTTAACGCAGTGCTTATGTTTATATTATGTTGATTTATATACGCTTATTTATATTTTTTAAATTCTTTTATGTCATTTTTTACTGTTTCTTTATTTGCTTTGCTTATTTTAAGTTTCATAATTTTTTAATTTTTTTCAGTATTAATTTTCATTATAAACATTATCCATTTATACTCTAAAAAGCTGAAAACTTGTTAATATTTTAACCTAAACAACCACTAGCATAATAATGTAAATAACAACATACACACACACTCACACATACCCATGCACCTAACTATCTGTATAATCATTCATCGCCCCCTTATTGTACAGTGTCCCACGCGACCGTACTCGGCCAGTACAGATGCTTAATTTTAATTAAAGTCTATGTTACAGATCTGGGCGCGCCCTTCTTCCCCGGCGGACCCGAACTGTGGCACCACCACCCCCTGGCCTACTCGGCGGCGGCAGCAGCGGCGGCAGCGGCGGCGGAACTGCCGGGGGCGGCGGCCCTGCAGCACGCCACCCTCGTGCACCCGGCCTTGCATCCCCAGGTGCCAGTACGTTCCTATCTTTGACTATCTTCGGACAAAAGTCCGATGGACGCTGGCGGAGCACCACCAGTCCACCACCACGTTAGTTCCGATAGATGGCTCTCGTTTTTCTTTACACAATTTTAATTATTTTTTTTTACTCTTATATTACTTTGTCTTATTATTAAGTGACATATCAACGTTTTACGCACTATTTTATTTTTAATAGTGTTAGTAGAAGATCTATAGCGGGATTCGACGGCATTGAATGGCTTCATCTTTTATATCTCATTCAAAATATTTGAAAATGGTGGTGTATTTCCGAACTTTTCAAAATGGGTCACCAAGAACATTCAAGAATTACTTTATTACTTTGTCTATATTAATGAATATTTGCACTATTTTATTTTGAATCACGTTAGTAGTATAACAAGCGGGATTCTGTTGCAACTTAATTGCACCATCATTCCCACCCGTGTTCAAAAATCTTGAATATGGTGGCGAATATTTTGGTGAAGAACTTTTCAAATGCAGATGCCAAAACTATCTAAGATCATACAGGAATTACTTTACTACTTCGTCTATATTAATTGATATTCAAGCATATTTCTATCTACGTGACAGTAGTAAGTCTTCTAAGTGAAAATCTTCTATATAAAATAAGAGTGTACAGGGAGGCTTTAACCCCTACAAGTATGCTACTTTCTTCACTGAAATCAATATCAACTTCATCAGACCGATGCATGGAAACAAACATCAGACAACCGGTTTCTGGAATTTACTCCCATCATCTGGCTTACTTTGCTGGATCCTTCGATCTAAGAAAGGATCGGCTTCTTAAAGTCGGCTTGATGATGGAAATAAATTTCCAAAACCGGTCATCGGATGGTTGTTTCCTTCGATCTGATAAACTTAATGATGAAATTAGCATATTTGTAGGGTTTATTGTGTACTATTTCTAATTAATATTTTTAATATTGACTGTTTACTACTATTTAGTGTAGAATATAAGCTGCGAGAATTCAGCTGCGGGAGCGCCGAAGTCATAATTATTAAATATCGCTTAAGATGGGCTGGCCACGTATGCAGGATGCAAGAAAACCGCCTACCGAAATCTCTTCTTTACGGTGAACTTGTAGAGGGTAAGAGAAAACCGGGTGGACAACTCAAAATATTCAAGGATGTTTTTTTATGAAAACTTAAAGGGGATAAGTATGCAGCATCAGTGGGAGGAAGCAGCGCATAATAGAACGCAATGGAGGAGAATTGTAAACTTAGTTAACCAACGGCAACCAAAAACTAAACAGGCAACAAAGTAATGAGATTTATATGTCCGGAGTGTGGAAGAGAGATAACATCACGTATGGGGCTTTTCAGTCACAGAAAAGCTCATGAAAGAAAACGCCTTGCGTAACCATCTTCTGATGCGTGTCAAATACTCGTCAGCGAGTAATGGTAGTAGTAGTGGTAGTTGTAGAATACCTCAAGTTTTTTTTAGAAATGGAATGTAAATCAATAACTCAAAATATTCAGCAGCCCCTTATATACGATCTATTGCAAAATTCTTAGAAACGATATTGATTGAAAGTACTATCCGGTGAACTGGCAGAGCAACCAAGATTCAGAGCTGGTACATCACTAGTAGCACAATATATTTACCCTCAGCCATTTAAACAAGTAATAGGAGGCTGTTTGAATATGAAGACTAACAAATGACGATAATTAGAAAATTAGTACGTTTAGTATAGCTGAGGGAAAACCAAATCTAGCTCTAAATACAGTCAAGATTATCAGGAAAAAAACGAAAATGAATGGGAAAACTGAAAAGAAGATATAGAACCAAACCAAACCAAAACAGATTTTCTATCAAAAATACTATGTATGAGATAAACTCAAATGCTGAACAAAAAATATATTTCTAGCGAATATAAGGTGTGTTTAAAACACTATTACTAAAGTATTTATTGTTCTATATGGATACGGGATCTGACAACAGTAGATAAAACAGTAGAATGCATAAATGACTATAGAACAAAACCACTCATTTGTCATTATAGGCCCCGTTCAGTTTTGTCCTATGATAAATACATATAAAATATATTATATACCATCCTGGACACTTTATCTACGTGGTCCGTGTTGTAATTCATGCAACAGAGATAAATATAAGTCACCTGTTGACAGACAGAGAGACAAAATAAAAAGCGGCATGCAGTGTTGCCAGTTTTTACGTTTGTAGTGAAATGTGTGTAGAAAAAAAACTATTTTAAAGCTTTTATGTATACTACTGAAATAAAGATAATATATTTAAATATAGCTGTAATACATTACAGCTATAGGGAAATGAGTAACTAATTGTGAAAAATAAAGTGCCAGCCCTAGATGCAACATTTTTCGTAAATGCCTAGTTGTGCCATTAAAAATTTTGATGCAAAATCCAACTTTTATCTGTTTTTAATACATTTAATTTTTTATTAAGCTGTATACTGTCTACACGTTAAAATCTAGACCACCCTTTTCAGATGATCCGATCCGTATAAACTTTAAAAATGTACTTTACTTCTATTAATAAAAACTACTTCTAATCTAATTTCCATCTAACTACTATTAATGAATAAACAATATTTTTGTATTTTTTTGGCACACACGTTGTCTAAGATCAAATTAAGATTAAATTACCAGTCTTTATCTATAATTTTACCGAAAATATTAGTACAAATTGCGTAGCTAAAGAAAAATAATATTAAAATCAGTAATAATATGATTTTTATCCTCCAGTCTGATACAGCGCCAGCGTGACGTAGTTCGAAAATTAATTAAAGTAAACCATCCAGTCGTGAATATAACTGATGTTTGACGCTTACAAAGCTTTGGATGGACAGCTTATTTCCCCAAATTTGAATGGTTTGGTTTGGTTTGGTTGCTTTTTGTAGAATTTGACTATATTTGATATATGCTTTTTTGCCATTGATATCTGCTCTTATAATCACAAACTTTTCTTCTTAAAATTACTAAAAGTTTATGACTTTACCTGAATTTTATCGAAAATATTAGAACACCTATCATAACCAAAGAAGATAATACTACAGAAATTGTTTTTTTTTTCTTTTTTTATTCGTATACATTTGATGCAATATGATTTAAAAACTAATTAAAGTGGACAAATCCAGTGAGTATATATATATATATACGGTGGTCCAAACTGTATTCCAGAAACTTCATCAGCATATTCTGCAGATAAAAGTAAAAGGGTAAGTAAAAAAGTTCTTATAAATGTATGTCCTAAAATACTTAGTTTTGGAGATACAGGGTGAAGAAGTTTCGTTTTTATTTCGAGATTTTTTCTAAATAATTTATGAAGTAACGTCAAGATTTGGATGAAAGTTGGTATCGGAGTTTTTTTACATGAGAACTTCGATTTTGATGTCAACACTCAGAAAAAAAAATGAATTGTAAAATGCACAATAAATCGCGTTAAAATAATTAACTCCTTCTATGGAATTCGATTTACCTAATTATTTGTTTCATAAACGATTGCTGATAATATAATATTGTTTTATATACATAATAAAAATTAAAGCATTCGAAATAAAGTGAATACTATTTTATCGGATATCTAATATTTAGTCCTTTTAAAGTAATTATTACCCTATATATTTTAAAAGAACCACGTTCAAAATAAACTGGCATTTCCTTATTGTTTTACATGTACAATATTTTATACCCCGCTGGCAAGCGAACCTTTGGGTCGGCGTTTACGTGTATAGGAGTGAGTCGTTATGGCAATCTAGTAAGTCGGAGTGAGCAAAAATACGAAGTATTTATTACATAACTACTTAATCTGACGCTAGATTCCATGCGCTTGGGAAAATACTAGCCTTCTGTCTTTATTCAGTACATTTTATTTTACTAAGCGTGGTCGACCGTACTCTTCGTACACATGAAAACCGGCACCCAAGACCATAAATGCCGACCCTTAGTATGTACAATGTTTTATATGTACGAGTATATGCATAAAATCAATAGATGTCTTATTAATTCAATTATGACCATTAATGAGGCCAAAATATGTTTGATTTTATTTGATTGATTAGTATTTTTTTTGATTTTACAATGTTTTTTCTCTCAGTGAATAGGACTCCTACTTGTAGAGGGCGCCACCTACATATTTTTTAACTCGTTTGAGCAGTAATAACTTTTCTTCCGTACCTGTAGAAAACTAGTGAGTAAAGAAATATAAATTTAAGACGATTTTTTTACGTAAAAAAGGTCTGTGGGTAAGAATCGCTACGAGTAATGGTTCCCGAGATATTTGGAATCGAAATTATCAATACTTATCATCATTGATATAAATTAAACATGATGACTAAATAGTTATTAGACTGAAATCATAAATTTGAAATGTTTTTGTGCCAAAAGTTCAACAGAAACTGACCATGATTTTTTCGCAGAAAAATTTATGATTAATTTAAAAAAAAAAATTTCCCAATTTTTTTTTATTTCAGTCAAAACTATCTAGTCTATGTTGTGTTTATTTTTTGTCAATAATGACATGTATTGACTATTTACATTTTAAATATCTCGAGAACGGTTGCTCGTAGCGATTTTTACAAAGAGAATTTTTTACGTAAGAAGTCACGGAAATGTATATTTTTTCACTCATTAGTTTTATACTGGTACGGACGAAAATTTATTACTCATCAAAACAGTTAAAACATATGTAGGTGGCGCCCTTACAAATAGGAGTCATATTGACATCAAAATCAAATTTTTCATGTCAAAAAAAACCCAGACACCAATTTCCATCCAAATATTGACGTTAATTCAGAAATTATTTGGAAAAAATCGAAATAAAAATGAAACTTCTACACCCTGTATCTCTGAAACTAAGCATTTTAGGACATACATTTATACGAACTTTTTTACTTATTTTTATCTGCAGAATATGCTGCCGAAGTTTCCGGAATACAGTTCGGACCATCCTGTATAACTGACATTTGACGCTGCATCAGATGGATGGATTATTC